CGACGATGGTGGAGCGCCTTGTCAGTGGCGGTGCAGCCGTGGTGGCAAGCACTGCCCTAGGCCGCCCCTGGCCCGCGGCAGCACAGCCGTGCTCCAATGGGGGCCCGACTTTGGACCGCGTCCTGGACCTTGGTGCGGGCGCAAGGCCCAGCCGATTGCCCCTGCGGCCCTAAAACAGGACCGCGCGTAGGTAGGTGGTAACGTAACAAGTAGCGAGGATTTCTTAAGGACTCGTCATGCAGGCGTAAAAGTCCGAGAAAAAAAAGTATGGGAAAATACCCAATCGACAATATGCGACCAGTTGAGATTCCCAAGGCGCGATGAGCTAGCCCATGAGGTGTCTTGCGTAAGACACGCCATGCCCATCCGTCCCGTGGCGCAATTTGCGGGTAACATGCTAATGTCCAGTATTGTTGCATTGCGTTGCCAATCGCAACACCCATGCTGTGAGCATATTCCACAACCGGCCGAAGCAAACGACAAAATTCCACGTTCATGCTATGCAAACTTGCCTGGCATACCGTGCCAATGGGGTGATGAAAGCATGGATCCAATCGGCTCGAAATTGGCAGGTGCCGGTCTCGCAACACCGCGTTATCAGCAAAACGAACTTTGAAAGCAAATGTCAACAGAAGATCAACATCGTGACCCTGCAGTTGGGAACCGCCAACAAACATGCATCCCAACCATGTATGAGCTATTTCGCGTGCATTAACATTGATCCTCATTGGTCCTGTCCCCTCTATTGGTCACCAAATGCTGGCATGGCGCTTCCGTTGTCATGATGACCGTTTTGTCGGCTTTCAAAATTAAGACAATTGCATCAAATGATGACATCAACGAGTCGGGTATCAACCTTGATTCCTTGGCTGAGATAACGAACATGAGAATGTCATCCGCAAACCGCGGGTCCAGTAAATGCTTCAGGCCATCACGCAAATCAATGCCCTTGCCCCGCGTTGCGGCTCGCCGTGCACGAATTGCATTTTCCGTTTCACACGGGCTGAAGGGGCGGGCCAAACGACGGAAACACCATGTGTTGCTTGCTGATCCTCCGGAACCGTCAAATGTACTTTGCAAAAAAATGTTCTGTGCACCTGTCGAGCCCGGGCAAGCTAAACAGCTTCCACACATGGGTTTAGAAGTAATCGACATTCCCAGCGGGCATGTAAGGGTTTTTTTTTTGCCCGTTTCGAGGGTTGCCTCGAGAACATTCCCGGGGAGAATATTCCCCGGGCAGCGATGAGTGGGGCCAGGATACCTTCCCTTCAGGAGCACATAACCCTGACACATCCGGACTAACAGACAAAGAGTTCAAAAATACGGTGAATGTGCATGCGTGATCGAAAGGCCCACAGAAGCCGAGAGGTGCCCAAAATGCCGGAAGAAGTACGAACAATGGTGGCTCGGCGCTTCCAGCCAGCTCATTTGCGCGTGTGCAAGTCGTGCTCGCCTGGGACCAGGTCTGCAGGTGCAAAAAAACACCGAACAAATGATTTGCGTGCTGAAAATCACAGTGGCATTTTGCGTTTCAACGAAAACGCGCATGCTGCTGGGATTTGTGTGAACGTTGTCGTTGGTATCGCACGCTTCCGTTTCTTGGTTCCAGAGGTGGTCTGGCCTAGCAAGGGTGCTCAGATGGATGTTGGGAAGGGTCTTGCAGATGAAGGCGTAGTTGGTGGCAAAATTGGCGGTGATCGCCAGGTGCAATGTCCAGTACGCATAGTTATGAGCGTGGTTGTCACTGAGATCTTACATGTTCTGCACCAAAACAGGCTCGATGGGATGTTCTATGAGTTATGGACCAGCCGCACCCAGAGCTTTCATGAGCCTTCCATATTATTGTAATATTGTATGCATGTGTGTCGTGCGTATTTCAGGAAGAAATCACAATTGGAGCCGTGACGCAGAAACGGAAGGATGCTCGACAGCTTGTGCTGGGAAGCCGTGTGTACCTTTGCCACTTCCCATGTAATGTGTTTGCAGGGGAAAGACAGCAAAAAAGCTGAGTTGGCGAATAAAGACTACCAGGCTGGGTGTTGGTCCACCCCCGGGCTCGCAAAATTTCAGGGAGAGAGGTGCAGTTAGTGCAGTTTACGAGGGATGTTGGCAGGACCGCATTGAGTTTCTCCTGACAGTCCCTTTGTTCCAAAGGCTACCACAGGCGCTGTGCAACCCAAAAAGGGCATTGTGTCGATGTTTTTTTGTTGTTTTGCTTTCGTTGCGCCAATGAATATCAACCGCATGAGGATGAGCACCCAGTGGTGGCCTCTATGTGTGAGGGTTGCAAGTTCAAAAAAAGCGACCTCATCATCAAGCAGCTTTTTCGCACAAATCACGTGCTTGTTCGTATGTAGCATTGTTTGCACATGCGGATTCAAGGCAAGGAGCTCAGGGTGAAGAGTTTTACGTGATCCGGAAGGGGCAGGCCGACGTGTTTGCAGCTGCCTCAGACGTTTTAGCTTCATTGTAGCTGGCCGTGGTAATTGCATGCCACAGGTCAAGAAGACAAATGGTCAGAAGGAAAAGATTGCCACGCTTAAGGCACTTAGGGGCTATATTTGCATCCGTTTTCCGAAGTTCCAATAAGGTTTGCGGGAGCTTGTCAGTTCAAATGTTTTGAAATAGGCGAGCATATCCATTTCGTAAGGCCAACAGCTCCGAAGCACATTCACATAAGCACGGGTGTCGCCTTTTTGCGACGACCACGTCAAAGGCTGGGGACCACTTTGGCGAAGGGGCGCTACTCAGGGACGAGCCGCGTGCTGCCACCGTGGTGGCCACGTCCGGCAGCTCAGCAGCTCAGGGTTCCTAAATTTCAGGGTCCAATGGCAACAGAAGAATTTTTCCGCCAAATGGTAAGCATGCATTCATAGCTTACTCAATTGGCAGGTGACGCCAAAGGTTTACAACACGTTGTTTTTTCATCACGGCTGCTCCAATAGTGCCACACAGATTCAATGTTTGGATTTTGTACTGCTTCAAGTGTCGAAACAAGAGTTCGATGTCACGTCATGCGAGATAGGGATGGATATGGCGAACAAGAGAACAAGACGCGTTCCCGTGCTGTTGTTCTTTGGTTTGCAAATCTCTTGCAAAAGTTGGGTGTAGGAGCGACATCCACACCTTGAAGATCAAGCGATCAGACTTCCAGGCATCGGTGAATGTTCCGGGCGAAGCCGTTATGTGCAGAAGGCGTCTCTTTTACTGGACGATTGCCGCACCAACAAAATCTTGGATATTCTGGACAGTTTAAGGGGGGTCAAACCTGGAGCGTAGCTGTGCGTGCTGGATTATGTGTTCTGGCTGTCGCAGCCTGCCAATTCGTTTTACTTTAATTCTGCTTTCATTGTCTTTTGGCAAGGCGCTTGGCTTGCATCAGAAGCTGAAGTTCGGCCGCCGTGCAGCGGTGAGTTCGGGCCAGAAGTACAGCAAAGCCAAGGACACAAAGTCGCGATAAATTTGAGATGCCCGGCGTTTCCACAGCAACCGGTTTGGCCAGGACCCTGTGGCCAAAACACCTGAGGACGTGAAACTTATCACTCAGGCCGTGAGATCTCATGGGATAACCAGAGCCCAAACATCTATGACTGCTGTTCGTAGGCCATCCTCAGCAACGATAACTTGAGCGTCATTGGAAACTTGCCGGAGAAGATTCCGGCTTTGGCGGAGGTAATGTGGAAGGATCCCAGTCACGAAGAATTTGCTGTGTGAGTTGTTCACTATCGCATTCCGACTACTGGAGATTTCGCCATGTGCACGGAGTTCGCCAGGAGTACGTGAAATCTGGGCGCTATGTTATCAATGAGGGAGAGGTGCAGGCGGGCAGAGAACAGTTTTTGGTTTCCCAACTCTGTCGATTAACGTCGAATTCCTGAGAACCGAGCAGCTCGAAAGTGTCCAATCTGCACCGTAACGGTATCTTGCCTTCAAGAAATTCTCTGCAGGCGGACTACTTCTACATTGTTCATGAGGGAAAATGCGAGATTGTGATTAAGGACGCATGCCCACTGCCCAGATTTTTCAACATGCATGAGGGATGGTTGATGCCTGCAGGACGAAGATGCCTTTGACAACCGCAAGTTTGGAGGACAAAAAATTGTTGCCCGCTCAGAATAAAGCTCGTGTGGGATGAAGGCCCTTGCATGTCTGCACCAACAGGTCATGGGCATCTACAAGCGCGGCTGGGGGCTTGAAGTTGATCAAACACACTTTGAACTTGCTTTCCCAGTCGCGGTATGTACAGGCATATGCTGCTTTTGTGGAGACTATGCAGTATTCACCGCCAACTTTCCGGTAGTCTGGAATCGCACTCCGTGACTTGCCGGCTCAACCCCGGAATCGTGGACTATGAGAAGCCTCAAATTCTTTTCATTTGAAGGTGCCGTGTTGCGTGCTGTGCCGCCATGGAGCAGCCAGCGAAACGTGCAAAGACCGAATTCTTCCCAACAATTTCCAAGATTTGTTTCGAGGGCCCGCAAAGCACCAATCCGCTCGCGTTCAAATATTACCAGCCAGATGAGCTGATCCTGGGCAAGAAAATGAGGCTGGCCAAGGGCAACGGTCCATTCTTTCTACTGTACGTTTTCCAAATCCTTCATGGTTTCGTAAGTCTCCTCATAGTCCCAATGTCATATGGTTTATGTGTCCCTCACACGCCACAAAAAAAGTTGCGCAAGATTGTTCCTGTTCATCCTGGCAGGGACTGGTGCCGCTTTGCGGTGAGCTGGTGGCATACATTCAATGGTCAGATGGGCACAGATCCCTTCAGCAATGTTAAGACGCACTTGAGACCATGGGATGTTGACGGTTCCATGGACACGTTTCTGACGCGTGTGGATGTAGCGTTCGAGTTCTTCACCAAGCCCCTCAATCAAAAGCAGACAGCTGGAGCCTGCCTTACATCCCCAAGCATGCTCTCTGCTTTCTAAGGCTGGGAGTTGACTACTACTGCTTCCACGATGTTGATGTGGCACCACAGGGCAGCAATCTGCAGGAATTCCAGGCAAACTTAGATGTGATCTCAGACAAGCCGCCTACTTGCAACAGAGCTTGTCATGCCAGTGTGTCCCAATTTCTGCGGTCCGCGGAGTGCAGCACCCGAGGCTTTCAGCAAAGCAGCAAGAGACTGGTGTGAAGTTGCTTTGGGCCACCCAGAACCTCTTCTCGCATCCGCCAGCAGCTCAGGAAAGGTTGACTTTTGGTTTAGGATTCATCCCTGATTTCAGGCGGGCCTTTGCACAGATGAAGCCTGAAGTATTAAGCCTCAGCAAAAATCAACTGAATGACCAAGGCGCTACAAGGACGGAGCTGTCACTGGCTTAGCTCGAGGTAGAATTAGGACTCATTTGAACTGCAGCTTCCCCCGCTCCGCCTCCCCACATGTCCAAGGCAACCGCGCCAAATTTTGATTCTTTTGCATTTGGCTGTGTCACCGGGCAGCATTGCTTTAATTCCTTGCCCCTGATGAATGCTTATGAATCTGCGAATAATTCCCATTCCAGAACATTTCGAAGTCAAAATGCGGTGCTGGCGAGCGAGGCACAGACGCGGAAGATGTTGGAGGTCGGGAAGAAGCTGAGTGCCGAGACTCATGTGCTTCTTGGATCTTGTTGGCACACTGTTGCTCATCTACTGTTCATTTGTTACAGACATATACTAAGTTCTGAAAGTTTTGGGATGGAGTCACACCTGTGACTTGCAGCGTCCTGCAGCCAAAGCGTCACCCTGCAAACCCTCTGAACAACCCAGGTTTTGGGGTGGACGAGAGGGATTTGCAACTGTCCCGGGCTAAGCTTCTGCAGGCAGAGGGAAACCTACACAGGTTCATGGCATAACGCATGGATAGTGCATACTGGAAATCAGGAAAATGGAGTTCCAAGCAGGGGTGGTGTTATGCTTGCTATGATTACGCTTCCATTTCGGCCAGCTAAGGGCATGAGGGGAAACCGCGGTTCAGTAAGAACGGGTGCAGAGTATTGCGAGGCTTCATTATGGTATTTTGACAAGCTATCGGTTTTGCGGTGACCCGAACTTCAGCGTTTGGTGCAGTAGGAGGCATTTCACCACACTTTCTGTGCAATTATTATCGTTATATACTTATTTCCGGAGCACCGAATATTAGTTATAATATCTTACGCCCAAAATGGTGGACACGCTTTGGACTCCAGAGCAGAGAAAGCAATATGAACGAATGGCTCTTTACAATAAGAAATCAATGTGAAATTTCGAAAGCTCCAGATTAAAGTCAATATGGAAAGCCAATGTAATCATTCAAGGTCTTTCCATTTTCAATCCTTCCCGCTCTTTTCTCATACTTCGCCCTCCTTTGTTTATGTTTCGTTAGATTCTATCATCTTTCCACTATCCGGATCCTCATAATTCACATATTCCATCGCTATCGCTTTCAGCATTTTGCATTCTTTTGCATCACTTTTCCTGATCTGTCACAGTTTCTTATGACTTTTTGAACACGGTTCATCAGGATTCGTCTTTTTTCATCATTGTTCACATTTTTTTGTTTAAACGATTTGTTTGTCATATTTTCATCATGTGTCGTCATGCTTCCTCATTTTTCAATTTGCAAAGGAACTTTGCTTCGTTGTTCATCCTAATCCATGTTTTGCGTCACTTTCGTTGCTATTTAAGATTGTCACCACGCCTTCATAGTACTACTTCATAAACTGCGCAATTTAGTCGTTGTTTTCTGTCACCTTTCATCACTGTTCAACATTTGATTTTCTCTCATTTTTCATGACATTTCATTGTTGTTGCCATTGCTTCATTTTCTAATGATATTCCATCATATTCACCATGCATCGTTGTGGTTTATCGCCGGTCAACGTTTTGCATCATTTTTCATGATAGCTTATCAGTTTACATCTCTTGTCATGTTGTTTCCTGGATTTTTCATGATGATTCATCATGTTCACCATTTCCGTCACTTTTCATCATATTTTGTTACATTGCTTCATGTATTAAGTACTTGTCATCATCTGCACTGTGTGTCATGTTTTATTTGTGGCCATCACTGTTATCATATGTCGTTGCATTTCTTCATGTCTCGTGCCATCAGTTTGCATGGTATCCCATCATTTTCACGATGCCTCATCTGATAATTCATCATCTTCACAAACGTTTGACATTTTCGACAGATCGCGCCGCTACGAGTCTCCAAATTTTCCTGAACCCGGCTTTTGGTTTTGACCCTTTATCATTTGTGAATTGTTTGATCCCCTACCCCTTCTTTGAGCAGAACTGAACCTTCATAAGGCCTCTTTCGAAGACCGCATGCAAGATGTTTTCACGTTTCGTTGCGCCATGCCAACCCAAGGCCCTGAACACAAAAGTGAAGAGTGAGTTGGACCACATGGCCAGCTTCCTGAAGGTGCCTTGCCTTTCACGGCTGCGCATGCGCTTCATCAGGTAGCACTATCCTATTTGCAGGATCTGATTTTGGGGTCTGTCTCTGCCACCATGCCTGCGTACTCGGGCAGCATGCAAAATGTCAGGGAATGCCCACTGGAGCTAAGTGGGAGACCTGGAGAGGGGCAGCGTAAACAAGGAGACAAGCCTAGTTCACTCCTCTAGACCGAGTTCCTGTCTGCTTTGGTGGGCCGAGTCTATGAGATGAAGTTCAACAGTTTCATGCGTTGCTTTCCCGTGGTATTTCTGCAAGTGAGAGTTGAAGATCGGAGACGGAAGCCTTGTGCATGTTACACAAGTCAGAAGTGTAAGAAGCTGCGGGTCCAGGTACCCAATTTTTGGGTACTTGGAATCTAAGGAGTAGTCGTGTAGCAGAGTGTTTGAACAATAACGTATTTGGACTAGTTACTTGTTCCAGACGGCAATCGAAGCAGAATTCTGGTTCGGCCAGGTAGGGTCATAATTTTCAGGCTGGAGATAGGTGACCCAAGCGTTGAGACATGTTGAAACCTAGCCAGATGGCCGTGGCGTACAAGAAGAAGATCGGCTTTACAGCGCAGTTCGCTATCGAACCCAAGGCCCAGCGCTGTGGTTAGAATCCTCATAGTGCCTCTTTGAATCAGCAGGATTTGAAGGCTCTCAAGCAGGGCAGAAAAGTGAATTCAGGGGTGCGGTCGAGCTTTATGTTAAGAAAACTACA